TACCCAATTCTGATTATTGTATAAAAATAATACACCAAATAGTCAACCCCAATGGCATTAAAAGGTCAGTTTCATAAAAAAAGTGACATTTATTGCTTTTCCCGTGGAGTCTTCAAATATATACTCTATTTCATCTATCTATTTAAATTCGAAAAAAATAGTTTGATTTCAACTACAGATAAGTTTTAAAAATCTCAACTTAATTGTAGTACGATTCCTACATCGTTCAACTCTAAATCAGTAAAATAATGAACTAAGATGCTTTAATTAGTATTTGGCGAAACTCGAAAAGTAATATTCTTAACGAAATAATATTTACAAAAAATAAAACATGAAATATATCTAATTCGTCTTTTATTGAATGTCAGTATGTGAAACATCTCCATGACATTCGATTATTTTTTGTGAAATTACTCCACTAGTTTGTTATAATTATTAATACAAAGATCGAACACTTACAAAAATCCTTCGATCCGGCCGGATTCGAACCAACGTCTCCTAGCAAAACGTGACAGACGCTATGCCAACTAAACCACGGAACGAACCAGCGGACCTCACGAATTTTTCTATGTGCTTGTCGGATCCTATGTATTTGGTTTTCGAAGACTTTTTAGCCTTAGATGTAGTAGCATAAGATGCTAAACGCATGTTCCACGACCATAATATATTATATAAATCTTATTAAAGAAGCGTACATGTTGTTCCTTGAACCGATTGGAGACTTTGTGAAGATGACCGTCAAGCTCAGTTAATTTTTATTCCTCCTATTAAAATTATGTCTATACAACTTTACACACGCCACACAGAAACACACACTACACAGACACTTGCCACACACACACACTCACTCACATTCACATTCAGACACTCAATTATTCAGTTGTTTGAACAAGACTTTCTTTTTTAATTTTTCAAATTGTAAAATGTGGTTAACTTCAATTAGTTTTACTAAGTTAGTATATTTCCTTAATTGTAACTCTTGTGAATGTAAACTGTTGTTGACCCGAATAAATCATATAAAAAAATTACAACTTCTCATGAAAAATCACCAGTCTTCCTAAAATAAATTACATTTACATAAATGCACTGTGACTTAAATGTGATAATTTTAATTTTTGCAGGCAGGCTTGTGCAAGATTTTATAAAATTATTCTAAGAGCACTTTCAGTAGGCTATTAAAAATAAATATTATAAATATTACGTTGCTCTGATTCCAAAAAAAGTATATATAGTAGTAGTATAGTAATATATAAGTGTAAATACTTTAGTGTATTTATGTTATGGAAATCGGAAACAACGACGGTACCATGAACATCCAGACAGTTTATTAATGTTGCCTGTATAGTGTACATGTATGTATGCGTCATAATATGCACATAAAAAGGCATTGACATTCCTAACCAAATCATATATGTATATAGCTGCTGATTTTTGGAAGCCAGTGTAGGAGTGTATGTATATCCGATACTCATTGTCATGATAAAAATCACTAAACTAGATTATGATATCATCATCATATCAGAATGCTGTCTATGTAAAATCAAATATACCTAATTTGACCGGGTATTTATCGTATAAAACTAATAATAATCTTAACCAAAATGACGGTGTAGTTACGTGTGTAAAGCGACAACTTGGATTTACCGTTAGCTGCAACAAGTTCTCTGAAGCAAACTGCTTATTACTTAAAAATGATAAATTCACTATTGTTGCGATATATCGATCGCCTTCATTCAGATGTCTGGATAGCTTCTTAACGGACTTGAATTGCCTACTCTCCACTCTAAAGTTCTCAAGTTCTCTCAGAACATCCTATTAGTCGGTGACTTAAATATAGACATATCTACAGATAATGCCGACATAAACAAAGATTACTACCTTAACCCGACTTCTGGTCGCGGCTTGTTCCCAACATATAACACCCCTACAAGTATAAGTAGCTGTCTAGACCATGCTCTTCTTAAATGTAACAACAAAGCTGTCGTTTTGTTACTAGAATGTGGCTTAACTGACCATATACCAGTGATAATATGTCTAAACTTAGACAAAATTAGTGTTAAAGTCGACGCATCTCATTATCAAACTGATTTTGTGGCTGTGGCTGCAGAAATCATGGATACAAACTTCTCTTTTGTGATCCTCTGCAACAATGTCGACCTAGCTGCACTCTAGTTACAAATACCATTGCACCTATTCTTACAAAACACACTAATATATCTACGTTACTTAAAAAGAAAGTTATCCTAACACCTTGGATTATACCTGGTTTACTGAGATGTATACGCCTCAGGGATAAGTTATACAAACGTTCTAAACTGAACTCGGGCGATGACACACTAAAATTAATTTATACTCGTTATAGGAACTTCTGCAACAGAGTTTTAAGAAAAATAAGAACGGAATACGAACGCGATGAACTTGAAAAGGCCAAAAACAATCCCAAAACCATTTGGGATTCTTTGAAAAGAATTGCTGAAGTAAATACCATAGCAAACCTACATAGTGATTATACAATGGGATGAGATGGAATTTCCTCAAAACTTATAAAAACCTGGGCTGCTGCTCTTGTACCGTCCATCACTCGTATATGCAATCTAGCCATTTCAACAGGTACTTTCCCTAAGGCCTTCAAGACCGCATTGATTCACCCCATTCACAAAAATGGATCTACTGACGCCGTTAACAAGTACAGGCCGATTTTGATTTTAACTGCTCTGTCCAAGGTTTTAGAGAGAATAATGAACAAGCAACTTACGACATATTTGTATAAATTTAGTATAATTTCTAAAAACTAATTTGGATTTACGTCAGGAGTATTCACAGAGGACGCTGTTCTAAGCCTTACCAGTCATACAGTTGAAAACTTGGATAATCAGACAAAATGCATTGGAATATTTCTTGATCTCTCTAAAGCCTTCGACCCAGTGTCAGTGCCGATTTTACTGATTTTACTGCAAAAACTTGAAGCTATCGCAGTTAGAGGGCTCTCGGTAAAATTATTTGCAAGTTATCTGACTAATCGCACTCAAAAATTCAAAATTGGGAACTGTATCAGTGACGAACTGCCGATAACGTTTGGGGTTCCGCAATGGAGTATATTGGGTCCCACCTTCTTTAAAATTTACATTAACGAGCTCTGTCAACTTGCTATCTCCAACTGCAAAATAATATCCTATGCTGATGACACTGTACTCGTCGTCTCTGGGTACGATTGGTCTATTGCCAAATCTCACTCGGAACAAGCATTGAAACAGTAATGTATATTGGCTGAACAACAATTTACTTACCCTAAATATTGCCAAAACTAAATATATCCCCTTCTCGATGAGAAATACTTCCACACCTTCGGCCGATTTATCTATTGCGGTACATACTTGTTCTGAAACTCCTTGTCAATGTATCAGTATTTCCCGAACTGGTAGTATTAAGTATCTGGGTGTGCACATTCATGTGGTTTTAAATTGGCATAGACATATTGACAATATTTGCTCGCGTGTTAGAAAATTAATATGTATAATGCTCCGACACTCAGCTGAGCGAAACACACTACTTATGGTTTATCAGGCCCTCTGCAAATCAGTAATAACATACTGCATGTCAGTCTGGGGTGGTGCCCATAAAACTTCGTTACTCAAACTTGAAAGAGCTGTCTTAAAAGTAATGACTCCACAGATCATTTAGATACCCTACAATCCAAATATACCAGGATTGCAACATTCTAACAATGAGACAACTGTTTGTGCTCCAAATTATTGTGCGCCATCATTCCTCTGTCTCGTAGGCTGACTTAAATTATATCACTAGAAGAAGGAAACCGGTATGTGCTCAAATACCCTATAGAACCATATTTGCGAGCAGACAGTACAGGTGTATAAGCTCATTTTTGTATAATAAAATAGATTAAAAAATTCAATTAGGTCATCTCAATAAATTTGAACCCAAAAATAAACTTTTACTTTTTTGGTCAATTTAGATTATGGTTAGACGGAAAATTTAATAAACCGAGAATTAGTAATATAGACTAAATTATTTGCTACATAGTAATTTTATATAAAAAAAACATACAGATTTCATTACAAAATTCTCATTACACACACATACCCTCACGCACGCGCATACACATTCCCACACACACGCCCACGCGCGCACGAGCACACATGCACACACACACACACACACACACACACACACACACACACACACAAACACGCGCGCGCCATCTATTTTTATTATTATTGTTTTGTTTGTTCAATTTGCATATTGTTTTAGTTATTCGTATTGACCTTTTTTTTTCTCTTTTACATTATTATTATATTTTACTTTTCATTTTTTTCTGTCTGTTTACAATGTAATACTATAAACCTTGTTGTAACTCTTTTTGTAGTAAGGTTGTTAATTAAGACACGGAGGAACACTGGCTCTCACGTCACAGGCTATCCTACTTTGAGAGTCAGGGAAAATATCTACAATGTTCTAACCTTATCCTAGATTTAATGTCTTTACTGTGAACTAACGCTTGGAAATAAACATTATTGTTATTATTATTATTATTATTATTATTATTATTATCATCATTCCAAACTTCAGATGGCGAAACCTTTAGAACGAATTTCCGAAATGTATTTTTCATATTTTACTTTGACTTTTAGGTTGGGCTAGAATGTGCTGTCTTAGATCGAGTAGGCTTGTTTACATTGTAATAATGAGAAAATTTAAACGCCCGCATAGGCGAAATTTTCCAATTAGATACATATATGCAAATCAGACCTACTATAGCGAATTATCGTTCTATTACTAGGAATTATGAAAGAGATCTGACATCCGACATGGTCCAATATATCTTATGAATAACGATTTCGATTGTGCCAACTGGTTCCTTCGTTTTTTCGCGAGGACGCGCCTGTTCGAGTAATCGTATTCAAATAGGGCGAGTTAGAATTGGTAATTTGATGTTAATAATATCAGTTTGGTATAAAAGTGCAGTAATAGTGAAGTATGTATTACATTGCAACGATTTAAGTCGTGGTGTGTCGTAGCTTATTACATTACACAGCAAAATGTCTCGTTTTACGGTAAGGATAATTACTTTTCCTTTTTACTTATTATGCTAATCTTTATTTTTATAGATAACTTTTATTTTTTATATTTTACATAAAATTATATATAGGTTATTTGAGGTTTGATACAATTATTTTATGACCTAGCTATTTAAAATTAATATACTAATTTCAGGTTCTCTTTGTCATCGCTTTGGCGTATGACGCATTTGGAGCTAGTAAGTCTTTGACTTTCTTTTTTGTTTAAGTTTTACAAATTATTTGAAAACTATAATAAAAACTATTTTTTCAGTTGCAAAGGACTCCCCAGCTACGGATTCTAAGCCTGAACAGAGCGGCTTTATCGCGCCAGTGATTGCTGACGGGCACAATGAAGCTGCATTTGGCTATGATATTGCTGGACCCGCGATAATCGGCGCCCATGGTGCCGTCGGCAGTGGGCAAGCCCTGAACCAAGCTGCAGCTGTAGGCGCCGCTCAACTCAGTGCCATTCAAAACGCACAAGCTGTTCAAGCTGCGCAAATCGCCAACGCCGCCGCCGCCGCCATCCAAGGAGCTCGTGTAACCGAAGCTGCAGCAAGGGGTGCTGGATACAATGCTATACAAAACGCTCAAGCTTTAGATGCCGCGCGCGTTGCCAATGTTCAGAGAGCTAATGCTGCTGCTTATGAAAATGCTCGTGCTGCTGAAGCTGCCAGACGCGCTGCGGCTGGAAGTGCCGCGGAAGTCGCTCGAGCGGTAGAGGCTGAACGTATGGCCAATGCTGCTCGTATCCAGGCTATTGCTATTGCAAATACTAGAGCAGCAGAAGCCGCCCGTATCGCGAATGCAGCACGTGCGCAGGCCGTTGCAGTTGCTACAAGCGCCGCTCAAGCTCAAGCTGTCGCTGATGCAGCTGCCCGAAATGCTCAACAAGGAGCTCTGCTACTCGGTGAAGGTGGTCTAGCTGGAGGTGTGATTGCAGGCCCCGGTGTTGTCGGAATTGCACGTGGTGGAGCTGGCCTTGGCTATGGCGCTGGCGGTTACGGATACGGTGGTTATGGATATGGTGGTTACGGAGACAGCAAACTCTATCACTAAGAAGAACCAGTGAACAAATCTTTATCCCCGATTCTTTAACACATCTCTATAGATACGGTAGCGGCAGATCTTTCCCAGTCAACTATTTAAATGTTTATTTTGAAATTCATAATGATTTGGTCATATTAAAAAGGCATCATATTGCAACCACGATTGGCAATGAGTTTGTTTATCATTTTGATCTCCTTTCTTTACCTGTATTAAATCGAAATTGGCAAAATACTCGGAATTGTCGATCATTGAAAGTGATATATTCTCGGAATTGAAAATACCTACAATTGGAACTCTATACTTTGAGATTTGACCCCATTGTAATATGATAATCCACCGAAGACGAGGCTTAATGCCAATAACATAAATAATAGATTGAAAACTTGGCGTAGGCCTATTTATTTAAAACTATAACAAAAATATCACTAAAACGTGGCAGTATGGTTTTAAACCGTTGCCTTTTCCTTTACGGAAAGAATGAAATAAGAAACAACAACCTTTTTCGCAGATGGTAATTTAAAAAGTAAATTAAGAAATGTTGCCACGGTAACGGTAGATTGTTTGTAAACATTCAATTGTTTTGTTTATCTTGGCAACGCCAAACGTGGCATCCTGTGTTTACAGCGATCGATAAACTTCGTAATTGTACGGAAATTACCAATATCACGATTTGTGATTTCGTTTTCATTGCCGGGATATTGTTACTTAGTATTACTGATTTCAATACACGAACATACAAGGAATTGAACCCGTAAGTCAGTATACAATTTTTCTTCGTAGAAACAACCATGTATTGCCTGCGACTATCAGCAAATAACGTAGGTACTTTTATTCTCAACAAACGCTGAGAAAGAGAAAATAAAATACGTACAAAAAATTCTCAGAAAGGTGTACGCATTCGGTTCTGCATAGAACTCTTAGAATAATAAAAAATACAAACCTAGTCCGCACACGCTAAGTGAGGCAAATTGAAGCGCGCCCAATGGGCCTACACGAGCGGGCGGGCCTTCAGTGCTCAAGGTCAACTTGCACCGCGAACAGATCAAGAATTTAAGCTAAAAATGACGAAATGTGCGGTAAATGAGTGTAAAAATACGTCAGACAAACATAAAATAGATACTAAAATCACATTCCACAAGGAAGTCGCGCGTTTCAACTTGTATTTTTATATAAATATTCACTAAAACCGAAAATTAACCTACTACTAAAACTAGCCTACATGAATTTGATTTTTCCTCACTTGTGACAGTTCGTTTGATATGAAGCTATCATTCTATGCGTTATTATTCTAAAATAGAACTGTAAAGTCGTCTGCTTAGTTATTTTTTCTATTATATCCAGTAACGAGAAGAACAAGTCGTGCACCTGAGTTGCGATAGCTTTAAATTGCAAAGATCAGAATGGCATTGCTACTACGCCCCCGTCATCCCGAGACGGAGTAAAGTGGACAAGTCCCACATGTCTGTAATTTCACTAGCATCGTTTACATGCTCACATTGGCGGCCATTGGCGACAGAAATAGGTAAGGCAGTACTTCCTTGGACGAACTATTCGGCAAGCTCTACTAATACTGCTACTAAAGTTTGTATGGGAGATGCTTTTGAAATCGTATCTTAAAGCACAGAGTTATTGAAATGCAAAAATGGATTGTATATACAAATTTTGCAGGCTGGTTTCACTAAACATTTCTTTCATATTCATACGGTGTGGCGGCCGAGGGTTTATCCCTCGCCTAAGAGGAGACCCTTTCTGATGAGATAACGACGAAAGGTTATTTATACTTTAACTATAGATAGCTTTTCCGTACGTCAATGACAATCCATGTTAGTGACTCGCTTAGCTCTTATTATATAATATACTTGAAATAAATATAGTAAATGACAAATGTATACAAATCGTCGGGGACAGTGCAAAGTCGTGTAGCAGTGGTAAAAACCGCGTATCTTCACGATATCAAATTTTACAGGAGTTGGTTTAAACATTATTACTTTATTATTTCAATGGGTACGACTTCCTTTTTGCACAGTAAGCATTAATTTATTTACGGACTAATGACAATGGACTCCAGAAAATCAGGTCATTTGGTTGGTTGTCACGACTATTACGCGGCTTGGGTTTGGCCACTAACTTACCGAAATGGCAACTTCAGAACGTACGCTAGTTACACGTTTATTTACAAAGATCAACCCCTAGAATTGTTTACTTATTCTTCTCAGGGGAATGGGCAGTAGTGTTTGATCATGACAATTTCAAGTGTCATTTGCTTACCGATGAAAAGGATTGTTTGATAGATAGTTAGATACATTTTTTTTTAGTTTATTGCAAAACCCAGGACGCTATTTACTTTTTGTTCACATTTACTACTAGTTTAGGACAATGCCATGTGAACATATTCGATTACGATGGTGGACAGTGGGGTGTTCACACGATTTATTTTCATGGTTTAAAAGACGGATAGTCACAGTATTCACACAGCAATCGCCCTGAGAACACGTCTGTGATGGATCCACGCTTTGTTGCACTTTTATTGGCATATAAGACGCCAACGGCTTTGTCGCCGGAATAACAGAAGGTATTGGGTTCATCCAATGAATCAAGAAGCAGTTTTGAAAAATTGTACGAAAATCTGAGAAATGATGATAACAAACGGGCCTTTGTTCCAATAAAGATATCAATAAATCGTTGTCCACAGAAGATTCGCCAGTCATTTTGTATTAATAAATTTATGTGAGCCCTCCTTCCAAAATATACCTACTTCATATACTAGACGCCGCTTGTTCGGTGACTATTCGATAAAAAACGTAACGGTAACTTCTCACCACTGCACACCGAATGCGTTAAAGTTCATTCGATTTGCTGACAAGTCCGTCCGTATTCAATAAACTGTGTGCGTTTTTTGGCAGGACAAATACCGTATGAACGGTTCTATATATAAAGTATGCACCACTGTTTATTCGGTAAGATTTATGCTGCAAAATAACGTGCAGTACAATGCCGTGTGAACGGGGGGTAGAGTTACTTGTTAAAGTGTTCGTCCAGAGAAATACTGCCACGTATTGACGAGTAAGAATGAAGTTATAGGCATGGAACTTGACACCTTTAGGGTAACGGGAGCAGCGGTAACACCCCTCAAATTTTTGCGATTTCTATGAGTGGCACTGCAACTGTTATGCATGTCACTTTCCACCAGGCACGCGATTTGCTCGTCCCGTCACTTGATGTGATAAAAATTCGTGTAAGTATTGCTTTTGCAAACGTGACAGGTGGTTTGTAACTTCACACGTAATAATTTAATTTTGTTTAACTAATTTTCAGAAATAAAAATGTCAGATCAGGATTTTATAAAAGAATCTGATGAACTCTCGTCATTGGGAAATCTCCCAGGAATTTCTTATGATGACATATTCGTGGACTTACGCACTGACCCTCGAGTCCAATGGTTCAAGGATAGGATCCTAAACTTTATTGGAATGGATGATGAAGACTTATTCTATAACATGGTGGATGAAGGCGATACCAGACAGCAACTTTCGAAGTTTCTCGCTGCGCCTTTGCAGCCGAACGAATTGCTCTTGAACAAACGATGTTTTTACGTCTCTAAAGTCATTGTTGATAAACTGATTCACGAGGAAAAGGAGTTTACAGAATGGCGTAAGTATTTATTTCATCACACGTGCTCGTAAACAGTGTAATTGGAGGCAAAGTTGACCGTAATGTCCTAAATTATGCCCATGGGCTTTTTCGTTAAATTATCGCCCTATGAATTTTTTACATCAAGATTCAACATAAAGTTTTTATGCTCGAAAAATCTGAACGTATATTTCGCATAAACTTTGCAATTTATCTTAATTTTACTAAATTTAGATTGTGAATTCTAATTCTGCAGTATTTTTAGAATTTGGTAATTATTTGTTTTATATCTAATATATTGTGAATTGTATTATCTGCGGAAGAACAGCTGGCAATCGGTTAAAAAAAACAAAAGGCCCGCCATTTGTAATATCCGTAAATGTTGTGTTGTAAAGCGATATTTATTCATACAAGAAATTAATTGTCGTTGTTTCTATTTGTAAAAAACATTGTATGGAGCACGGGTGGTAAAAATTATAAACGTCGAGTCATTCGAGTATTAATAGCGTCATTCTCCGAGGCAGAACCACCTAAGCTTTAATAAATTTTTATTTTTTCAGAAATGTCTATAAGATTTCATAAAATTCTAATCCTATTTAAAAAATATCTATGTCATCAGTTTCGTCGTAACTTGCATTCAAAGTAGTTGTGCTACGGAGCATTCTCCCCAGCAGAACCATCAATAAATATCTATTACTACACATAGTATAAGCAAATATATTTTATTTTATTTTACGAATAATTATCTCAACGCCTGGAACTGCACATAATATGATATTTCATGTCCTTGCTAACAACTGTTATGTAGGGCTTGGCGACTATTTCGAGGAGAAAGTTTGAGGCGTCGTTTTGTTCGTACCTATATTCAAAACAGATTGAGGGTTTGGGGGTGCTAGGTCAATTTAAAATTGTTATTTGATTATTTGATGCTTATACTATGAAAGTAATTAATAGATATTTATTGGTGGTTCTGCCTTGGAGAATGCTCCGCAGCACAACCACATAGAATGAAAGTTTACAACGAAACGAGTGATATAGTTATTTTTAAATAGGACTAGAATTTTATAGAAATCTTATAGGTATTTTCGAAAAAATAAAAATTTATTAAAGCTTAGGTGATTCTGCCGCGGAGTATGACGCAATTAATATACAAATATAGTCAGGGCTCCGTCATTCGCTTGAGGTTACGCGATAAGTGTTTACCGCTGAGAGTGTTGACGGCAGTGCAAGCGTTCAGACAAGTCTTTCATTTACATTACAATCCTTGTACAACCCCAGCATTCGGTTCCGCACGACTGCACACGGCGACAGCGTTATTATCATCACCTCTCTGAGCGCGTGCTAAGGTTTGTTTTTCATCGTAGTGAGCACCTGGTGTCAAGTCCGATTTAGTAAACTAAGTAAATTAAGTAAACTGTGACATAATGTCTAGGGATCAAGGATTTTTTTTAAATATTTGATTAGCCCTTTACAATTAAATAAAAATATGTATTTATATAAATTTATTAAATTATGAAATTGGTAAAAAAATCAAAGGTGTTAAAAAAATTAATTATAAAACCTGATTTCAGTAATTGGCAAAAACGTGCTTGATCCTTAGAGACTTTTGATGAGTGTCTATTGTGCATGTATTTATTTAAAGTTTATATACATATTTAAAGCAAATATAATAAATAAAAAAATAAATATGTTGTCATCATTTATATTTACATTTAAATTAGATTAAATTATTTTATTAATGCGACAAGAAACATTGTTGTGCATTACGTTTGTGTATATGATAAATGAATGAACAATAAAGCTACTAAATAAGAAGATTGCAAAGAGGATCTTGTCCTAAGGCATTCTGTCTTTCTACGTTACTTCACGCAGTGCGGTGGTTACCACTGGATGATTTCCTCTCTATTGAATTGTTTTAGGGGTGGTACCTCCACCGCCTCCACCGCCGCCTCCACCACCAAAAAAGGGCAAAAAAGGCAAAGGAGGTGCGGCCGCGCCACCTGCCGAGAAGAAAGGCAAAGAGAAAGGCAAAGGTAAAGGAAAAGGTATGTCGAATTTATTACATTCTATAAATACTAAGTTAGCATCATGGTTAAGCTGGGTTTAAAGTCACTGTGACGTCGAGGGCAATGAGGCAGCGGATGTATTGCCAGTGGCAGACTAACTTATATTGGTCCAGAACCCTTGTCCCTATCTACTGACCCGAGATATAGGGTATTCCGGAGAGACTATGGGCTCACCGGCAAGACCAGGATACAGCGGACGTCCGTGCCAAAGGCTCCGCCAGTGATACGACTTCACGTGCGTTTCTGGCGGTATGGACTAGCTGGGGTTTGTGGCTAGCTGTAGGTCTAGACTTGGGCCTGAGGCGAGGAAACGCTTGGTGCACGTGCGGAAGCTATGTCCGGACATGATCACAAGACACTGCTATGGCATCTCCGGCACTAGCCCAGAGAGCTAGATATCCTCCGATCCCTCCAGCCTTTTGGCCATTAGGTAGGTACTGGAAAGACGCCGTTTTTTTCCGGCATCTCTTCTCTCTCTTAGAGATTTAGTCATTAATAGATTCAGGCGTTACTTGCGGAAGTTCTTGTTAATAAAAATGGAAGTAAATTAATTTGCTACACCGCGAACCCAGTGAAGGTTAAATCACGCAAAATAGCTGCGCTTGTGTTGAATATTTTTTCATGCAGTTACTTATCCCACCCTCCCTCCGTATAAAATTAACAAAATAAATAACACAAGCGAAAACTACAGTCACAAACCACCACCAAAAATATACCCGACACGTGTTTCGTCTCTCCACGACTTGTTGAAATTGGTAGTTAATAGCGCGTCTTATGATTGTTTGCATAGTCGTTTAATATTATTAACATGTTATTAGTTTTGTTTATGTTCCGTTTTCTATTTATTTTTCAGAACCTGAAGTCACCGAGGAAGCAGGTAAATAAATTATTGGTTTTAATTTGGATTTAATTAATAAACTATAGTTTATTCGTTTTATGTGGTTTTGTAACACGTTCAGTTCGGGAACACAATTACCATTATTTGTTATCCGGTGGGAAAGATTCTTACATGGCCACCGGTGTTACATCATCACCCCATCAATCAAAAAATGTGTCGGGGCGGTGTACGTAGTGTTGTTAAAAAAACCGTTTTTTTTGAGGTGAAAGAAAACAATGAAAAAAAAAAACATGAAAAGAAACAGTTTTTTTTCTGGAGTATGTTTTTTTTCTAAAACTATGAGAGTTAAAATATGACAATTGCATTTTTTTATTACATTTCCTCTTTTGTTGTTAATATTATTCTTCATAGATAAATTGTTTATAATAAATGGGCAACACTCATAGTGTTGTCAATTTGTAGCGAATTCCCCAAGTTGCAGGGAATTTCAACTCCATTGGGTATTTTGTGGGATTGACGCTATGTGGGGAAAATTCGGGGATTCTAACATTTTTACCTTTTTTTTAAAATCTATCGATTGCTGTTGCATCACTCTTTGATGATTACTGATAAAAACACTACTTATTTATTTATCTAAGAGCGATAACAATATTTTTTTCCACATCGCACATATCCCTTGTAATAGCAACATTTACATAGAATTGTTAGCAAGCCGCCTAAATAAAATTATTCGGTAGGATTTGAATGAAGGAAACGAAGACAAAAAAATTTTGATGACATTACAAGTGTGGGTAACAACTATAACAGTAGTAACACCACAAATGAAGATTACATTTTTGTTATAATTATCATGGTAATTGATTTTTATAAACATGTTGTATAAACATTCACACATATATATTCTTAAAACAAAAGTTAGTGTCTTATTAATATAAGGCACAAATTCTTCTTTTTTAACCAGCTGTCCACCCGGTTTTTGAAAGCGTTCACTGAGCTAGCATTAACCACGTCCTCAGGCAACCTGTTCCACTTTGTAACCACTCTGTCGCCGAGGATCTGGTGGGCAGTGTAGGCTTTCGGACGAATTTCATGTTGTGACCCCTGATATTTCTGTAGTGTACTGTTCTTTCGAAGCATTTGTGAAGTTCTGGAAGATTGTAGAACCCATGAAAAATTAAAAAGTTACAATTAGATCACCCCGTACTCTTTTTTCTTCAAGAGTAGTGAGGCTAAGGAATTTTAATTTGTCCTCATATGATTTGCGACGTGGAGCCTGAGGTATTTTGGTGGCTCTCCTTTGTACGGTTACCAATAGATCAATGTCCTGCCGAAAGTACGGATTCCAGACTTGAAATCCATATTCAAGCATTGGCCTAATATATGTCTTGTAAATCTTAATAAATATTTCAACAGTCATCCATTTTCTTGTCTATTGTGTGTAATATTTTTAATGTACTAGGTGATGCGCCAACCGGTGACGACATAGAAACAGCAGCCGCTGCGATTACAGACGTGGATGAAGAACTTGAAACCACCAAAGGACCTGAGAATCTACCTATGGTCGTTGATGAAACGTACTCGTTTCCCCCACGTAGGTACTCTTTACTGGTGCTACAGTCGAATGTCATCTTATAACGTCTATTTAAAACTACTTAAAGTCTAATATCGTCGCCTTGCTTTCTCAAACTCGTTTCATAAAACACAAAGTTACTGAAATACAAAACTTGGATTGTATATATACAAATGTTGAAGGCTGATTGCTCATATTTCCTTTATATTCACACACCGGCTTTTACCTATTCTTAAAGTAATGCATTCAAATTAACCCCTTGATAAGAAATTTAAAATAAATAGAAAGTTTTGCCATCTCCCATTGACTTACAATTATATGGACGTCGGGTCCGCGCTAAAAAGTGTCCGAACTTATAGGGCGTTAAAATCGTATACAGAGCGTCATTCACGCTTTAGTCTTCGTTTGTTCGACTGACAGCGAAGCAAGCAAAATTAGACAGTACTGCGATGACATTACAATTTAAATTCAACGTTTTAGCTTTTTCATATTCCTTTACATGTCACTACGTTTAAATAGGTTGACTTGGGACATTTTTTTCGTGGTTTTTGTATTAGACCCGTCGTCCATTTATTTGTAAGTCAATGCCATCTCCTGAATAATCGCTCTTTATAAGATACGAGCTTGAGAAAGTAAGGCATCGATATATTTTTTTTTAAAACACACACTCAATATGTTAGATACTACTTCATTATCAACCCAATTAAAATTTTGAAATTGAATGTTATATTTTAAAACAGTCGTTAAAACCTAAAACATGCATTTCTCCCCTGAAAATATACAAAATGTCGCTTACGCCTATTCCACAAAATATCGACGATATCGCAATGTGATGAGCTAACAAATGTACTATGCTGCTTGGCACCGAGAAATACGCATATGCGCAGCTCTCGTCGTCTTAATTACGGGCTATCTGCTCTTACGTCCTGGAGGACAAATTCCGGTGTGCGCTTCTTTATGGCATATTTATAACAAACTATTATCTGAATTAGACATTGTTGATCTGTCTAAATATAAATTTAAGAAGGCGGTTACTGAAGCATTGAGTGGCACTGTAGTGGATTGTGAAACGGGTTTTATTTATTATCTTTATAATGTACTTTGTTTATTAACTTTCTTGTCATTCCTCAATAAACGTTCGAGTTTCGTGTAATATTGGATTTCTTTTTGAAATTATTACCCAAATGGCCGTAAAGGTCAGGCGCAAGGTTGCGGACGGCGGAGGAGGGCATCTAAGCTGGTTTCACAGCCGTGCGTACAATCCGTACGGACTTTTTTTAATTTTATATACTTGACAGGGAGATGACTCAATTCAACCTGGTGTAAAATGGAATCCAAACGTGAGGGAAGCCAGCGCAGTGTTGATACAATCACTGCCTTTTGACATATTTCACCGTTTTCTAAATGGGATACCCCAGTGAACCAAATGCCAAGACTGCATACTTGTTTAAGCAAATAGTTGATTGTATGCCTAACTAACCATTTATTACTAATTTGTAGCTCCAGAAGATTTAGATCCAGAAGTAGACGGCACCCTAGAATTTTTTACAGTCAAGGTGAGTGCATACCATCATAGATCGGCCTTCTCTTTTTTCTCATTGTTGAAATTTCTTTGTTAAGAGCGGTTATACCGGCAACTTTTAACAGCGATGCAAACGCGACAAACGCGATACAAACGCGCTGCACATTTTAATTAACTAATTTATGTATTTTATACATTAATTCATTTCACTTTTAAATTAACAATTAACAAATCAAAACAATGTGCATAAATCTATACAGATTTTTCATAAATAATGATACAACATAAGCGACTGCATCGATGTAGCGTTGCAATTGCGCGTTTCACTAAAACGCGTTTGCATCGCTGCTAAAAACGCCGTGTACAATCCAGTGATGAGAAACTACTTGAGATGCTACTTTTGAATACTGATTTTAGACATCAATATTTGTATGGTCGCTATCAATAACAAGTTAAAGTTCCGAAAACAAAGCAATTATAAACTTAATTGTCAGCCTTTAAGGGAGTCACTGCACTTATAGCGCGGAATCGGCTTGAGGCGATCATGGAAAGACTTTTTGTTGGATAATGCGTATTATTCCACTGAAGAATATAGGGGCATGATCTTTTAAACATTATTTTACTTACTTACACATAAACTTAACTTAATATGTTACATTATTTCACACAACTACATTAACTATGTTAAAATTACTTAGTACAAAACTTGTACTGGATGTTTGTAACTTTTTGAAATGTAACATTTATTACTATTTGTAACGATTCTTGTAATACAATATATTCTATATAGTAATGTAAAGTTTACAAGATAATAAATAAATCTAATCTGAATCTAAATCATGTCTTACCACAACTTGTCGTTTTAAGTCGATTCACTGTCGACGCAGCTATTCGGGCGTGTCGGCACTGCCGTTCCGCCGCCATCTCATAGCCTTATTACATGGGGCCACGACGACTGTGTTTTCTGACGTGAAGCGACGTGATTAACGTAAATCGTACATTAGTACGCTCGCCGCCGTTGCTGCGGTATCAACTAACGCCGCTGGTTCGTGTATGAAAACGTGTATACAAAAGTAAGGGCGACTACGCAGCAGTGGTGCTGCCATTGTTACGGCGCCGTGTGTAATGACCCATACGGTCGCGATCGGAAATTCGCTGGAAGAAGATTCGTTGCCAAATTGAGTCTAACAACATCTTACTAGCTGATGCAAAACGCGTGTCTTTTTCGCTTCTATTACATAAACTTGAAGCTTTTTCTGACCGGCTTAATGCGATTTCGTGTCGAAGTGTGGTGACTGCCTAACATTATGCAATTTTTACTAATGAATAAAAAATATCAATAATTATGTTTTCACGTTATAGAGACAAATTCCGAAAATAATTCAATATCCAAAATTAGAGGCAACATTTGGTGCTTTTACTCCCCAAAACACGCACCGCAGTAGGCGGTATCTGTACTTCGTGAGACAGTGTCAGGAAGGCATTCCTTTGGATGAGACTGATGAGAAGACTATCGCAAAAATGCCGGAGTTTGTACTCCTTGGATGTTTATCTGGAAAGGCTCTAGTAAATTTGGGGTTGCAGTTGAGGGATGTGAGTATCTTCTGTTTAATTCACGACGAAAAAACTTTGGTTTGTATGTCGGTTTGTGTCATCGTAGCTCCCAAATGGATCGACAGATCTCCAAGCGATTTTTTTGGAGGTTAAGTTAGCGTCCTGTTACACGACGCAAAAGTTTTTGTGCGTCCACCGCGCGGTAACCGTCCGGCTACCACGCTTTCACGCACGTTAATTGCGAATCTGAATTCTACATATTAGGCAACAACATTTAAATTCCTCGGAATAATATAGCCGCGCGGCCGCCGCGTGGACCAAAGCCACACGAGCCAACAAGCCAGTCTTGTCCGCATGCCTGTGACGTAAATGTTAAAAATAAATAGAGCGCATTTTTAATCGACTTAAAAGGTTTTCTTCTAAGGTCGCAAACTAGGGGGTGAATCCGGTTTCGCGCTCTTTCCGGTAGCCGATTTCAATAAAACTTGGCAAATAGATGTAACTCCACGACCTTTTTAGGTCGGTTTTTTGTTATAACGGTTGGGAGGCTAGTTTAACATGGATGGTCCTTAACTATGTTTGATGAACATAGCTCTGCTAACAGCGCAGCTCTTTTACTAGTTAGTGTAGGTATCTCAGTTATAAAATGAATATTTATAGCCGTGGTAGCCTATTGGTTTGACCGTCGAGTATATAACCAGAAATAGAGAAGAAATAAGGGCCGTCCATCACTGGCAATTCATCAGGCTAATGTGAGTGTCTAATCACAAATTAGAAAACTGAAGTAGTACAGCGCCAACGACTGACCTGTGTGTAAGTCCCGTATGTTCCAAAAATATTCTGTATTTATTGTAATAAAGATAATATCTCTAACAATGGGGGCTGTTCCATTCGGTGGTGTGGAAAAACAGCAAAACGTCTAATTACAAAACAAACGGAATTACATTTCATCGGTAATTAAATATGTAATTTTACAATTTTCGTCCATTATAGCAAGTATCGAGTTAATCTGGTCGATTTGAAGTGCAACAATTGACGACACTCGTCAATTGTTTCGAAGACGGGCTGGCCAATCGGAAAGCAGTTGTCACAGTAATGACTTGGCAGAATAGTTTTCAAACAAATTAAATGACATTTCGTCTTTATTTCTGGTTATATACTCGATGGGTTTGACCGCCTGTCGAGTAGAAGCAGTAGGGTGAAGTAAATATCGTGATGAAACCTGTACGTCGAAGAAGGGTCACAACCCTCGGGAAACGTGTGGCGTTCCCAACCCGCACTGGGCCAGTGTGGCGCACTGTTGGCCTAAACCCTCCACTGAGAGGAGACCTATGCCCAGCAGTGGGGAGGGTATAAATGAGTTCATAATGATGATGATGAATGTGAGGAGAGATATGTGTGAAATGTGCTTGAGTATGAAAAAAAATGTTTGTTTAGATTTCAAGATTTAGTCGTACTGAAATAAAGAGTTTGACTTTTTTTGGCGTTACAGGCTTTTATTCCCCTCTTCAAGAAACAGTTTCGTGAGATAGCGTCGACAGATCCTGATGTCGACCACGCTCCCACTTCGACGACCATGCTCTCTCGACAAATGTCCTACGCGGGGATCCACCACGAGGATACTGAAAATTCTTCTGCCCAGGTAGAATTAGAACGCTAAACGGAGAGCTGTTTTTGGAATATAATTTCTTATTTATTCATTTACATCAAGCAACTATGATCCATATAATATATAGTGTAAGAGCTAATATAGGTATATATAATATTATAACATAGAAACTAAATCTCTGCGACGTGTGGCGCAATCGGCGTCAGGTAACAGGCTGCAGAATCGCCGACATACGACATCGTTCGGCCAAAGCTCTTCCTTCAGGAAGGTGGGCACTCTCACCACAAAGGAATTAAAATTCGCGCTGTGGCGTGACTCTAACCGCTTGATCCACTCGTGAATCGATTTCGCCGAGGCGGCGGAGCCTGATAGAATTGTGGCCTTAGGTCTTTCAGGCGTGACATGAGCGATTGGGAATTATTATTTAGTGTTGTAAAAAACTCTAGTCTGGGACTCTACATGCACAAATTTGACTCAATTTCGCACGGCTCGGTGGACTAAAATACTCAAAAGTCCGAGTCAACTCTGAAGAAAAGAGTTTTGAACAAAACGTACGAAAACGCTCGAAGCAACTTCTACTCTACAAAGTTACCGAGTACGACAAGCAAGGTTCAATTTTACGAAACAACTGCTATAACCCTAAATTAAATAAAACACAAACAAAAATTCGAAATGGTGATTTTTAAAACAAAAGATATTAATATTTTAATTATATTACAGCAATTCTACTACAGTTTAACACACCACCCCGCAACAGCGCGCCACTAGACTCGAGCTTGACTCGTTACATAAACAGACTTGAACGCGACACCCTACATAAATAAACTCGAGCACTGATCTCGAACTCGTATATCGAGTAGTGGAGTCTCTGTCTTTATGGGTCGAGTCTTGTGAATTGGAGTCGAGTCCTAACATACAGACCCCGCACTCGAATTTTTTACAACACTACTATTATTAGATTATATCGATCGCTTTCCAAAATGACGATCTACGACAGACTTTTCAGTGCTTATCATAATTTTGAAAGTTATCGAACATCCTATTTTTTACAAAGCAAGAAGAATATGGAAATTTTTCTAAATAAAGTCTGGATTTCGTTCAATTTTTTTATATTATTTTAATGCAAGACTAATGCATTGTAATATATCACATTAAAGTCTTAGAAATGTATAAAAAAAAGGATATTAATTTTTCTTATAATCCATTTCACTGACTAACTCCGTAAACGCTGTTAGACAACGATATCGTATCCGACTCCAAATCGAATGTTTAACTCGAATGTTCTGAATAGTTCAAATTCGAGAACGACATTCAATCGACAGATTAGGTTAAAATATCGAAGAGTTCTGAATCGGGGTCCAAGTGCTGTGGTTGGTATGGTCCACGGCTGATTGGTTTGTTAAAAAAAATAATATACCCGATTCAGATAAAAAAAAGTTTATTTCAAGTTTGTTTTTATTTACTACAGACACGTTGTTTTCAGGTTAATTATCTTCGTCCGTCTGACTTTCGTCGGATGTCGAATATAGTGAGAGGAGAGAACGCTGAACGAAGGTAAATTTTTGTCATAAATTTACATGCCCGTGTTTAGTTTGAAATACCAGTCAACTTGTGTCTTAAGCCGGATTTACATTTGTCTGATGTGTTGTGTCGTGACGCGTCAGACCGTTATCGGTTTCATACATTTTATATGGTTAGATTTATATTACTTTGTCGCAATCTGACGTGACGGGTTGATTTGTGTGTATGAAACTGATACCGTTCTGATGCGTCACGACACGCACGACACGTCAGACAAATGTAAATCCGGCTTCAGGTTGACGGGCGTAGTGGTCACTTATTAATATATTTTTTTATTAATTTGGTAGTTTACAAGTTTTAATGTTTTATATCAGAATAAAGAGCATGCGTCTGCCAACAACACCGTCCCATACAGCTCGTCGTTCATCTCCAACGGAAGGGATGAAAGCAGTAAGTGGCCTCTATATAGTCTTGTAATTTTTGTCTATATAGTTACATAATATAGTCTTATTTAAATGTTCAGTGTCACATATCGATAAGCAGGGACACCAATATTGACTTTTCAAGTACTAATGATTACCTAAATCTAAGTTTTTTCGAAAATACAAAACTATATCGCAGAAACAGCAACGCAGTTCTCGTGTGGCACTCGGTGCGTTGATATCATAACGTCACACGCACCGGCAGTGGCAGTGTGGCATCGCTCTAAGTGTGTGCGTGTAAATAATTGAATTTTGCTAATACATTGTTGATACTTCTCTGCGGAGAAGCAGTAGGCGGCCACTACACAGAATGATATTGCACAGTAAAGCCAAAAAGTACGTGGTTTTTGAGATCCATATCATAATGACATTTGATGGACAAGATGGGAAGTAACAGTAAGGTACACACACATATGCATAATTTTCGATAATAAGGGATTAACTTTTTAAAGATAAATAAAACACCTGTAGATTTCGAAAAACCGTGACCCTTGCAAAATGTAATTGTATTCCTTATATCAAAAAATTACGTAATACATCTTGCAAATTTGAATAAAATAGGATTATGCCGACACGGCAGCGCGGGATGGTAGAACTATATAGAATAAACATAATAGTGTAGTCCATAAATTGTTTCAGCGATAATACAATATCTCTATTTCATTTGGACCCACAAAATCGGGTGGTTTAACTTGACTGCAATGAATTGTGTCAGAGAAACAAAAGGTTTACCTGTATTCTTTATTTCTTAGAAGTCGCTCCAAGCGATTGACGATATGGACGTCGCGGACACCGGGGACGCCGGGGGAAGAGGTGGCTCTGATGAGATCATTATCGATATTGATAACCTCGTTAACATGGTCGACTGGTCAGTATTTCATTGCAATAAGTACAACTTTCCAAAGTTTGGCGTGTTTAATATTTGTAAACCCATGCAAGTTTTGTTTATTGACCGCAATCTATTTCCGAAAACGGGAATTTGCTGAAAGCTATGATTTGGAAATTATTCATTATTTCTCTATGTCCACTGTCGTTTGCGGTGGTCCAAGATAAGTTTATACAAACTTAAGAGTTACTTACACTAAACCTGTCTTCTATAATTGTAATCTCCTTGATAAACTGTCTCATAATAAAATCAAACTTAGTGGACAATTCTTTACGCATCACATCACGCATGCCTTCGAATTCAAGAAACTTGAGTAGCACCTCAAGAGCCTTTTCGGAAGATCTGAAAAGAAATTTTACGTCATCACGCTTGCGTGTGCAATGCACCGGTCTGCATTGCACACTTGACGGTTGTCACCGTTAAGCCGTTGACTCTAAAGTCCCCTACCAAATCTCATTGTTGGTGGCGGAGGTGTACGCACGTTCACTTCCCGACACCGAAGCCTCCATCCATTCCTCCGTTACTAAGACGCGCTAGCTGCACACGAGTCAGCCTCCCCAGCCACACACCACCGGAGCGGACGAAAATGTCCGTTTCAGTAGGTACCATAAATCCCCGGCGAAGCCATACCCAGAGTCCGGGTCTGCAAGAGACGCCCGTGAAGGTATATTACTGGCGAAGGGCTTGGCCTGGACGACGGCCGTACCCCGGTGTTACCGGAGAGCCCGTAGTCTCCTCTCTCGGATCGGTAGATAGGGCTAAATAATAGCGCATTAGCGGTACCTGTTTTCTGTCAGGTAGACGATTTGATGCAGTTATTTAAAAAATCAATCCACAGGACCATAGAACATATCGAAGGCGAAATCCAACTACCCATGCCAGTCGTTCCCGGGTTGGGAGAGGCTGATGACAGCGATACCGATCTACCTAAAGATTTGATACCGCAGCTCGAACAGGCAGTCATGATGTGGGTGGAGCATATTGATTCTACCATTACAGCTTGTCTTGCCAAGGTAGGATATATTAAATAATATCGATAAAATTTTTGTTGGATCTAATATGATGAACGTTATATTGACTTTTGAGAACATAGAATGTATTAAACGCCTTTTTAAATATTGGATGCATTTTACATACATTTACATAAATACAATGGTTTGACCTACCGCCTCTCAAGTAGGGGTTTGAATTATAGGTTTGAATCCGGGCTTGCATCGGTTTTCCGAGTTTCTTGGAATTTATGTCCGAAATTTAATTTGAAATTTCCTCCTAGAAGGTTCACAACCGTTGTTAAATACGTGAACCCACATTTGGCCAGTGTGGCGAACTGTGGCCTAAACTCTTGTCTGAGAGGAGATCCGTGCCCACTTGGGACGTTTAAATGGATTGATGATGTTGATTGTCTAAGTAGCAGTCTAAGGAACAATGGGCGAAATAGTGTAGTTGCAGAAAAGTAATAAACAAATGAGGGTAACAAAAAAGCAAAACGGGAGAAAAACACGGGAAGTGTTACAGCATCGTATTTTTCTGCTATTTCCGTTGCATGTAGTACATCCTTCATTTACCTGTGTACAGTTAACTGTCCGAATTCCTAGTTTTCCATTACTTTTCTCTTTGATGTTATCGTGTCTAGCAATGTCGGTCAATTTGGTGAAATGTTCTTACGACTTTTGTTTAACGTATTACAGACCCGTGAAGGTCAAGGTCCTATGGCAGAGTACAAATATTGGCGAGAAAGAGATGCAGAACTGTCTCTTCTGGTGGAGCAACTAAAACAGCCAATGGTTGTTAAGATCTTGTCTCATTTGCAAAAAGCAGAGTCAACCTTTTATGAGGTAAGAAGATTTAAGACCTTAAGCTGTTCAATTTTGCATCATATTTGCGTGTCAGATTTTGTGCTGGTTTGGTCTAATAAAAGAAAAACGGACCGACACAAATCTGCCGCCGCTGCAAAAGAAACTTAATTTGCAATTTGGGGATGTTACGGAATTTATTGTTCCAAAGGGATCTTCGATTTCCTGGCAACGCGCGTCGACGACCCTCGCATTGGTGCGCCCGGATCACGGTGTGGTCGTCGTCGGACGCCTCACTGCGGCCAAGTAATGCGCGGCTACGTACGTCGACGTGCGACGCCATATTTGCATAACACAAATTTGTACCTTAATAATGGGAAAATAGAGACGAATATGCTATAGACGAAAAACATGACGCGTCGCGACGCTTTGACTCTGCGCCAGTGTAAGTTTAGCCTTAGATTGCGCTTAAGCTTTAATAAATTTTATTTTTAGGGTTTTCTGCACAACAAGGAAATTCTGATGGATCAATACAATTTAGCTGGAGACAATCTCAAGTTTTTGTCAACTCTGACACGTTTCTTTACGGTAAGATGAAATGTTCTTTAACGGTACAACTGTAAGTACGCAAACTGTTGAAATTTGTTATTGAAAACTAAGCCTTAACGTAGTTTTCATTTGTAAAACTACTTCTGTGTAAATCATATTTATAGAAACTATTTTTGGTATAAATATATATATTAGCCCAATTTACTAGGTAATAGAAGACGAGAAATCGCCACTCCAAAATGTAATAGACATTTTACCAGAGATGGTGGAAAGTATTTACATGGTGTGGGTGCTGTCCAAAGGATACCGAACAGATGAGACTATGATACCTCTCCTTGCGCGAATCTCTTGGGCGTTGTGTGACAAGTTGGAAAAGAATCTTGATGTATACAAGTTGTTTGAGTAAGTTTCTCTTGTTTCTTACCTTAGTGTAAGCAAAATATATGGACCATAATCCCATATCAATATGATTTTCCAGCCATCTTAATGTTATAAGGGACGATACAACGTTTTTACATTTCGACTTGTTTTATTTTTGCACAACGTGCTTTCAGAGCAAGCTGTTTTATATATTTTATGAGACAGACCACCAAAGGGATTTCAGAAATTCTACTTACATACTTATATTACTTTGGAATACTTCCAAAGACAGTTTGCCGATTTGCTTATTTCTTGAATTATGTTTTAACTTTTAAACATTCATACAATTAACTTTGTCCTCAGTAAATCCAATGAACAGGTCCTCAGTATCTGCAAGAATTCCAAAAAGATTTTGGAAATGTGGCACCAGCTGTATAGAGATACGCGAAGACATATTGAGATCAGTGGCAAGGGTGCGCGTTGGGAATTCGATCAGAAACTACTGTTTACTAAGACTGATTACATTGCCGAAGTGGCTGGTGATCTTAGCAACGTTATTCAGGTAAGGGGTATAACCAAGAATATACTTTATAGATTTCTCTGGCTCCTCAAAATTTCTCTGACACACAAAAAACATACGCAGTTCATGTTATGCAATTGCATAACATGAACTGCACACAACAAAACAGAAACTTAATTAAGTTTCTGTTTTTCGGAGTAGGAGTAGGATAAAAATTGAGAATCCTTGTCATGTCATCATCAATATTAATAATGGCCATGACTGAAAGTTAACTAAGCGAGAGGCCGGTCGAGCGTTCGTGCCTTCCCTCTTCGACGCGTCCCGCCGTTTCACAGCGCCAGCAACGGTTTCCGATGACGCCTCGCTCCCTAAATCTAAAATATAAAAAAATTCCCAAAATCAATGTTTTGTTACTCCTTTTCAGGTTGTCATAGACTTTGAGCGCGTGTTCGGTATGGAGCTAAAATCGATCATAAGTGATCCCACACAAATCGACGACGTTCGCAAACGTGTAGTCAATCTTGTCTTCCCAATAAGAACTATAGACTTCTGTATATTCAACTTTAACAATAAAGAAAACTGGGATGTTATTATGAACGATTTCTGGGCTGAAGTTAGATATTTAGAAGACGAAGCAAAGAATAATATTAATAATAGCTTTAGCAATTTAAGGTTTGTACACAACTGGGTGGAAGATCGTGTCCATTGCTTGTAGCAGACAGGCATTTTTTTTGGCTACAAACAGACTACACCGTTGGTCTCGAATCTCAGCTTATAAATCATATGTTATACACCATGATAGCGGTTACAGTGATTACGTGAAGTCTTATTCGTGGTGTCATTTCATTCGTAAGTTTTGTTATAGATTTCATGAGCACTAAGCGCAGGCACGATGACGTAAAATTACTTTTCAGATCTTCCGAAGAAGCTCTTGAGGTGCTACTCAAGTTTCTTGAATTCGAAGGCATGCGTGATGCGATGCGTAAAGAATTGTCCACTAAGTTTGATTTTATTATGAGACAGTTTATCAAGGAGATTACAATTATAGAAGACAGGTTTACTGTAAGTAACTCTTAAGTTTGTATAAACGTACCTTGGATCACCGCAAACGACAGTGGACATAGAAAAAAAATGAATAAGTTCCAAATTATAGCTTTCAACAAATTCCTGTATTCGGAAATAGGTCACATCTTTGATAAGCCCATGATTTAGCATTGTTGCAAAATTTGGTTTGCTCAATTAAGGGTATACATACGATAAAGAATTACAATGCAGATGCCTTTATTTTAGCGAAGTCGCAAGAATCCCCCATTGCTTCGCAATCACCCGCCTGTCGGAGGCGCAATTTACTGGGCGAGGATGCTTTTCAACAAATTGAAACAACCTATTATGAAGTATCAAAAGGTAAAGTGTTATGGTACTACATATAATTAAATCATCTTCTGTTTTTACCTAATCCTTACTTTTGGTTCTTTAACGCTTTAACCTAAACGTTAGTTTGTACTTTGGATTCTTAATACAATTAAAATATGGTTCAGGTTCACGTATTTTACTATTTCATTTTCTATGCTTATTGTACGGTGCAATATCGTACATTGTGTTTATGCGGCATTTTACGTATTCATGCGACATTTAGTTATAATTTATATTTAGTTCACAATCAGCCATCGCGCAGTGTACTCATATGTATCAAATGTATCTTTATTAGTTGTAAATCAAAACTAATAAACATTCTTAACAGTTATAATACTATCATTTATAAGTGTATGGAGCACCGTACA